AGCTTATTTCCTCTCCAAATTCACACATTAGGCACTTGCAATTCACTTCCAAGGTCATGATACACTAATTCCTCCTCCCTAAATTGCTCGACTAGTATTTTCTCGCAGGTGACACCCCCCCTCCAACTTAAAGTCACACTAAACTCGTCTCCTGCACACAACAACTCACTAGCTTGTCAACTACAACAAATCCTTCTCCTTATCTTCAAATCTTGTTTTCCCTATATTGTCCCTCCTACCATCAGCATCTGCCTCTTCACTTCTTTGATGTCGTCTCCCTGGATCGACACCCACAGGAGAACCCACAGCCAGCAACCCCGCACATAGGGCTTCTCTTCCCCTTCACACAGAACACGTGACTTTGGCTTCATCTCCCTTCTTCCCAAGCACACTAACACTCACACAGATGGTGTAAACCTCTTCTTCTTCCTTCTCCTTGCTCTTCACTTCTCTCATTCTGCGTTCAATTTTGTTTATGTTGTCATTTTGGTTCGAATGAGGTGTCTCTCTCTTAATAGGAAACTGTTAAAGCAATTATTAATTTCAACATTTAAAATATATAAACATGATTCATACCTGAAGTATCAAATCACTTCTTATCATGCAAGAAAAATCTATGTTATCGAAAAAATTTCAAGAAGAAGTTTAAATCTCATTCAAGGAGAAGAAACATGAATACGATAAACAATGGTTTATTACAAGATAACTTTCCCCCAACAATTGAAACATGATCACATCACATCTAAAGCAATATAACATAAAAATAACAAGACATATCTTCAAAATAATATACTAGAATGACACTCTTATAACATGCGATAAACATAACACTCATCAATTCCTAGTAGCATCAACATCAACAATAGGTTTTTCACGCTCTCTACAGAAAATAAACTCGAGGTTGAATAAGTTATCTTCGTTGATCTTGAGTAGGAGCTGAAGCTCTAAACTCTATCATTCTCTAACCATCTACAGTTTTTTGTGAAAGAGCTCCAACTGATTTATACTTTTATGAGATTTTCTGATCAAGTGAAGGGCAATGTCAAACCATGTGACAAGGTAAACGACACCCGTAACATGCATATGAGCTCATCAAACATTCAACTTTATATTGTTTATCACATTTAACACAAGTGACTATAGTAACACAAGTAACTTCAGAACTTTAAGAAGTGTCAACACTGAATCTATCAAAACTAAACTTGGGCTTCTTCATCAAGATTAAATTATTTAATCATAAACATTTCTTAGGTACCACTTTTGTCACGACCTGGCCGAGGCTTAGAGTTAACTAAGGCAAAAAAAGACGGTCGAACAATAAATAAATTTCTATAACTAATAATTTATAATCCATATAAAATGAAAGACTAACTAAAAAATTAAAGTAATACAATTAAATTTACCTAATTTCTAATTATTCGTGTCTTCTATAAATTTTTTGCTCTATTATTCATCTTTTAATCAAATAATTAGCCCTGAATGATTAATTTAAAACAAAAATGAGCTACAAAAGCCAAAGAGTATATCTACTTCTAAACTACAGTAATATAATGAAAAAGGAATGATATGTATGCTAGTTAGAAATATTATAAATTAATATAAAAATATTATACAATTTACTTTTTTGGATATGTCATTCATGATAGTTCATAACATTCAATATATTTTATAATATCAATAACATGTCTATCATTTTATGACTGTATAGTCATCACAAGAGCAACGTATAAAAATTTAATCATTTAAGATATTTTAATATCAATATCATTTTCTAGTTATATGCACGAGTACCGTAACGTTCTTTCGATAGTACCATAAAGAAGTAAACTCCATCATAGTCAACCTATGCACATGCAAGCATATTATATAGTTCATATCATTCATATGTTCTTTTTATTTAATTTTACATTTACATAATGCATAAATTAGTATTTCTAAAAATTTATATTCATCACAATAATATAACCAACATCTAAAAGATCATTTAAATCATAATACAGTAGTGCAATCAGGTTTTTGATAATAATCAATAAATTTGATTTAGAAGAAATAAAAGCTATTATAACTTGAAAAAAAAAGTACTAATCTCGATCCTAGACGATTTTCTTGTCCTTAACTTCTAAAACCTCTTTCAAATTAACACATATAAAATAGAAAATATTCATGCTAATACATTTTTATCGCACTACTTAATTATACTTCAACTAATTATTAATTTTTAATCATTAACTTATCATATTATTTTAATTAAGATATCAATCCTTCAATTTTAAATCTAATCATTGCGATTAATACTAATATTATTTAACATTAATTTAAACAAAATACTTATAGAAATAAAACACTAACATTTCTCTACTTTCTCTTCATTTGCACAATCACCAAACTTGATCTCCTTTCTTTAATTCAACTGTTTGTCAAATTAAAATTACTTTAATTCATAGAATTTGAATAACATTTAACTATTTAATTAAAATAACTTATATAATAAAAAAATATATAAACCCTTGCTCTTCCTTCCATTGTTTAGTGGCACCTCCCGCATGCTACTTCTTGATGCACACAAAGGCATGAGTTCTTCCTTCCATTGTTTAGTCGCACCTCCCGCATGCTACTTCTTGATGCACACAAAGGCATGAGTTCTTCCCCTTGTACATGGATCGTTTGACACTTCTATCCGGTACGTAGAGAACTTCTTCCCTCTCCACCTTTACACAGAAAGCACATATAATTCACTTCAAGGTCACAATACGCTTATTCCTCCTCCCTAGGCTGCTCAACTAGGATTTTCTCACAAGTGGCACACCTCCTCCTACTAGAAGTCACACTGAACTCGTCTCCTGCACGTTAAGCCTCACTAGCTTGTCACCTGCAAACAAATCCTCCTCATTAGCTTTAACTCTTGCATGCCCTAAACTGTCCCTCCTACCAACAGCATCTACCACTTCGCTTCTTCGATGTCGTCTCCCTGGATCAACAGCCACAGGAGAACCCACAGCCAGTAGGCAGCCTTGCACATAGGGCATCACCTCCCCTTCAAACAGAACACGTGACTTCAGTTGCGTCTTCCTTCTTCCCGAGCGCACTAGCACTCACACGGGTGGCTTAAGGTTCCCCTTCTTCCTTCCCACTCATCACTTCTCTCGTGTTGTCTTTTGTTTCGTTTCTACTGTCATTTTGGTTTGAATGAGGTGCCCATCTCTTAATAAGAAACTATTGAGGCGACGTTTAATTCGAATCAACACAGAATCACTAAAATTCATTTTCTCTTTATTTTATTTTATTTTATATTTCAGTTATTACACGTCACCTTCCTTGCTCCTTTCTTCTTCAATTGGATGGACAAGCAACAACAAAACTCCTAAAATCTTTCTAGAACAAAGGTTAATAATATAATCCCGTCAAATAGTCAGAAGAAACCATGGTAAATTCAGGGCTTTGGTGCCCTTCAATAGATTAAGCTCACGGATTATTTGAATACCCAACTTGAAAAATGACATGTCCTTCACATAAAAAACAGTTCTTACATGTGAAACAATCAGACGTGCTTCAGAACTCTTTATCTACTATATGTTCGAGATTCTTGGCAGCTGCAAATGAGACAGCAATTGACAACATGACTTTAAATATCATTTTACAGCATCTACACCCTACCTTTCTCATTCATAACTTGATTTGAATATTAACAACTGTTTTGTTCATGCCATGACTGTTAAAGTAAGAAGTATTACCTAAGAATTAGCAGTTAAAAATATGAATCAATCAGAACATTCCATTTCCAGTTTAGTTTGTTTACAATTTTGCAGACTGCATGTAGTCTCATGCAAAATGAATTATCTCTATACACTTGATAGAAAAGTGAGACGTAAAGGGAAAAGAAAATGTACAAAACCTCCATGATATGAATGTTTTTCATACTCTTGATAAGAACATTATTTCTTTCACAAGTTATTAACTCAAATAGATTTGCAAAAGCAGCTGTAATATAAGAGAAATATTCTCACTTTTCTAATCAAATTAAGCTGGCATGACTTTTCTTCGGTAAAAAAATTAGCTCTCTCTTTCTTTTTATCCTACTGATTATATGTGATGGTTTTGCGTTTCGTAATAATAACTTGCCCATGCATTGAATGGGATAATTTCTAATACAACTGTAGTCTTTTAAACCCTTATAAGAACATACTACATAGGTTGGATGTAAACAGTATGCAAGGCACGGCCCTCTTGAGCCATGCTCGTGTTAGCATGCATCCTTCGCCTTCTCAGTAGGATAAAATATAGGGGCATTTGCATAAATAACACGCAATTCCTATGTATTACATATCTAACATCTAAAAGTTACATTTTACATTTATATAACCCAAATCTGTTAAATGATTTTTAAAAAGTGCCACTTTTTTAACTCTTAAAAAGGTTCATGCATAGCCAAGATGGCGTATGTGTAAAGATTGAAGTTTTGGTGTTAGATATGTACATACATAAAAATTAAGTGGTCTATATGTGATTCTTCCTAAAATAAAATAATATTACATTTGAACTAATATAAGATACTTGTGTGCGTATACATCAAACAATCTATTTGCCTATTTTTATCCAATATTCACATTCATGATGTACTTGCACTGAGCCTCAGGCTTATTTCCAATATAAATTAAATTTGGTCCGTGCTTGTTAGGCCAAATAGTGTTGTAACCCAAAATTGTGTCTGCACCCCCAAAAGTTGTTCTAGGGCTACTTCACTAGCCAGGTAACACTCCCTTCCTATGCATAAGGACCCGGAATCAGTCTGAATGCAGGCATGTAGTTATGATGTAACTCATTGAAACCCAATTATTCTTCGTAACTTTGATATTCATAAGGCTTAGTATTTAAGAACAAAAAGAAGGCCAACAAAAAAAAATATTGATAACAAAGTGTTGTTTGTTTGTAGAGAGAAATCAGGAGCGCAACAATAATGATTAAATCAAAGAACATTGTTGGAATAAGGTCTAGAGACAAACATGCTTCACCATATCCTCATGAACAGTTCTGATCTTTTCCTTGAGCTCATCCTGTCAACAAAAGAGGCATCGAATCTGAAAATTTGCAATTGAAATTACTTGGACATAATGATTGATAAAATAAAATAAAGAGATTTTTACAAGTAGACCACTATAAACTCTATTATTTACTTATGTTATTCAATTCTTTAAAATTACCAGAATACCAGCTAATTTTACAAAACATTCACTAATATATCACCTTAGCATCTAATAATTGCGATATATTTAGAAAAATAGGATGGTAAACCAATAGTTATATCATGTGGTAAGCATGTAAATATGAAAATGCGCGCTGATATGCAAGGAATTCCTAAAATTAGATTTTTACTGGCATATAACTATAAACTTTCATATTGTAATAGTTAAAATTATTATATTATTACTATTACAATTTATCAAATCACAGAGGAGAGCATCTATAACTTTCTGATGCACAGAAACACGGAACGAAGAAAACGAGCCACTCTTCTCAGTTTCATCAACAAATTAGATGGTTTATTATCAAGAAAAGAAGAGTGCCATTTTACTAAATCTATCAATTGCGACCATTATAGAATCAACTCAGCATGTTGTCCTCGGTAACCCCAATACAAAATCATCGCTTATATCTTTCCCAATGGAATTAGGGATTGGGAGAAGGGAGTATAAACCTTTGTTTTGGTATGTTCTTTTGAACCTCTAGCAGATTGTGCATTTTTTTGCAAATCGCCATATATCTCTTCTCAGTTTTAGCCAAAAGAATCTGATTTTCACAAGCTAAAATGTTTTATCCCTAATTATATGTGGACTTAGTCCCCCACTATGACATTTTTTGAAGATTTGTTGATGAAGGAAGGATTTCAGAATGCATAACTGATTCCTCTTAAAGAGGTATCCTTGCTATAAAGAGTAATTTGCAATTGGTGAGTGATTTATACATTGGTTCCAGGGGAAAGCAAAGATCTTGCCATATGCATACATCTAGCGAAGTAGCTCCATACCAATAATGCTAGTTTGTACAGCAACCAAGAGACTAGCTCAGTGGCTTAGAGCGTAGGCCACTCAATTTTAAATTCCTGCCTGATGTTTCTTGCAAAATTGAATTTTTGCAAGAAAAAGACCCACTGCAGATGCATTCAATCGAGATTACATTGGGATTGCAAAAACTGAAGGGGCTGATGGTCATTGAATAGTATAAATTCTTGCTGCATTGGGTAATGGTCAGTCTTAAAGCTCGTATAATTGCATATAACTCCTGCTCATATGTCAATCATATGTCTTTTTGCACTCATTTTCTTACCAAAGAACTCCACTAGTTAAATCTCATGTATGAAGACGGCTCCTATTCTCATAATTGAGAAGTCAATTTTTACATGAAATGGTTTTTCAAAGTTAGGAATACCGGATTGGATTTAAGTACCTTTCTTAGTTGCAGAAAGTGCGCATGTTGTTCCGGCCCCCAACTGAAACATGCCTTCAAGCATTTGATTATGGATGTGGTAATGGTGCTAAAATATTGATAAACCGCCTAGAAAAATTGGCGAAGCTGTGGAAGTTTAGAACCTTATTGGTTGCTGTAGGCGTTGGCAATAATGTAATCTTTACTGCGGTTTCACCAATGATGAAACCGAAGAAATGAATTTCGTGGACAGCAAATTCATACTTCGGCATATTTAAAAATAGCTAATTTTCTCTTAAAATAGAAAGCATTTTTTTGAGGCGGTGAACAAGATCTTCTAGACATGTAATATAGACCAACATATCAACGAAATAAATGACACAAAATTGGCTACGAAAGGATTTAAATCTCATTAGTCGCATGAAGGTGTTAGGAGTGGTACAGAGCACAAACGCCATAACTAGCCATTCTTATAACCCTTCTCGCGTCCGGAATGCCATCTTCCACTCTTTGCCTAGTCAGATATGAATATGGTGATAGCTGCTCCGAAGATGCAATTTGGAGAAGATTGAGGCCCCGACTAGTTTTTCCAATAGATCTTTCATTTGTGGCATAGGTAACCTGAACTTAATGGTGATTTTGATAGCACGACTATCTATAAACATGTCCCAAGTACCATCTTTTTTTGGAATGATCAATGCAGGAATCACACATTGGATTAGACTATACTAAATGAGTGTTTCTTCTTTTTCTTTTTTCTTTTTTTTTTTTTGTTTTTTTTTGCTTGCAACGAGTCATCCACAATTTTTTGGAGTATAGACTATTCTTTCGTGTTCAATCAATAATGGGCAAGTTGGGGTAGATTAGCGTCTAGAACCAAATCTATTTGATGTTGGATTGCAAGTATAGGAGGTAATTTGTTTGGAAGTTTTTAAAAAGAAACATCCATAAACTGATGTAATAAATTTTCTATAATAGGTTCCATATCTTGATGATTAGAGTTTGCTTCTGCAACAAGTAACACAAAGGTCATGGTTTCGACCCTACAAGCTGACATCAATTGGTTAGTGATGTAAGCGGACTTCTCGACATCAACCTATTTGCTGGAAGGAAGTGTAGGAAGGAGTTTGATCTTCTTGCACTTCCATTCAAATATTTCTAGGGCATTTGCAAGGCCATCCCCATAACAAATTGCCAGTTTTTCAAGGATTATATGGCACACATCCATATATATGACGTCACACATGACTTCCCACACAAAATTCTTGCCTATAGATATTGCTTTGCACAAGCCCATCACAAGGACTTCAACTCCCTTCTTTACCCAGCTAATTTCGTATGGATGTGGATGTCTTGATGTCTTTTGTTGTAATGCCTTCATGACCTTCTGAGGTATCACATTTTCCATGCATCCACTCTATAAACAAGTAGGTAGCATAGACCTGCAGGTATCTGCGTAGGAACAAACTGTAAAATTTGTTACGATAAAAGAAGGGGTCCTTGGAGACAATTCCTGCACACCCTATCTAGAAAGCTACTTGTGCACAGTAGAGAAGGCCACTGCACCTACTAAAAGCACATAGAATATTGTTTTGCTTCGTCATTGAATGCTTTTTAGCTTTTTGGCATTTGTTTTACTCGATTTCTATAATTTGCTCAGCTCTACTCCATTTACTAAATACAGCAGCTCAAGAAATTCTAATTATAATTTTTAAATAAAATAGCTCAACAAAATAATGAATCTTTTAATAACTCAATCAAAGGCATAATCATTTGATCTAAACAAGAAACCGCTTGGTTAAGCATAAATTAAGTCAACATTATAATAATAAAAAAATTACCCCAACTATTGCAAATGAGTAGGCAGATTTCACTTCTAATATTGAAACAATGCTGATGGCTCTGACTAGCAACAATTTTGACACACTATAGAGAATCAAGCGAAATAGTCGAGTACCAAACTCAAGACATACTTTTGGGAAATACCAAATCTTTGGCTAAAAAAAATATCAACCCTCTCCAAAATCTAAAAAAGCTTGCATGTTGTCAAAAAAGCCCATAGAAAGAAAATCAGAAAGCAATCAACAGAGAAATATATATCCTTCAAATCAAAAACAGAAGAACCCCACCTCAAAAGTTTGTCCTCCCCAATGCAAAAATAGCATCAATTGTAAAAGTTTACAAATGAACCTCATTACTCAGTGATTTAAGCTAACATGACATTTGAAAACTATTATAAGAGATTCATCATTGGGTTGTCCCAACAAGCAAAAAATACAAGCTTAAAGCCTCATGGTGACATTAGGGTGTCCTATCCAAAGATCTACCATTGAGAAAATAGGCCTTACAAACAAAAGCAATCTAGACTTCCACTAGCCAATATTCGTATCAAACGATAGCCCAAAGAATCATCCCAATATAAAAATAAAATGAAAATATAAGGAGAGCTTTACCATTTAAGCATAACAAGAATTCTCATGTCACCTTGATCATCATCAAAGATCTGTTGGAGCCTAGATACAACAATTCAAATCAAAGCTAACATACTGGAGGACATCAACTTCATGGGGATCAAAACTGTCTTCATGGCTGAGAACTGTTCAAGCCACTGACAGCAATAATTAAACACATAATGGTTTGTGGGGTTGCCTCATCCTCTGTATAAGGAGACCAACCTAAACTAGAGCATCAAGCATAAGAAGAACATGCTTAATCCTTACTTCCTAGATAAGGGAGATAGACGTGTTGGCACTAACTCCATCTTAGGTAGTTGTCAAAGACGAAGAGAAGACTACCGAACCTCTCTTCCTCTTCTTCTATCTCAATTTTGGCTTTGTTCACTATGAGAAAGAGTCGTTAACCCTGAACCTTATGAGCCTCCCATCCCCTATTGAGTTAAAAAGAGCCTTGGCCAAGTTAATCAGGTCTCTATTTAGTCACATTTAGGTCAAGTATTTAGGCTATGTAATTGACAAAATAATCAAATAAATTTCAGGTCAAACCAGAACCTGACCAATTAACCCAAATTGAAAACCAATCAATACATTTCAGACTAGCAATTTGGAAATGTGCCAGTTCTACACAACAATAAATTATAAATTATGGTCGCAAGTTGATATAAAGATAGCATAAACAAAATATCAACATACAACGCTAGGACTCTTGAAGAGACCTTCCTTCACAAGTTGTCGCAGATCCTCACATTCCTCCTACAAAAAAAATAAATTCAAGAATGGAACTCAGTCACACTAATTTATTTAAAAAAATTACGCATGTTTTATATTCAAGAGGACTAAAGATAGAACAAGCATAACATATCACATAGAACATATAATACTCCACATATTTGGTATATAACAACCTCTTTACCTCCTCAAAGTTATCATCTGATAGCATAGATATTTGGACAACCTTACAATAGTTGGAAACACATAGGACGATGTTTGTATAAATATCTCCTAATTTGTACTCTTCTGACTCCTTTTTCACACCTGCAGAGAGCCAACAAAAAGTCTTTTTACACAAAAAAAAATATAATTTGATACGTGAAATAAATCAAGAAAATCAAATGTTTTGATGCTTTACCAGTGATTTGATTAAGCTGGTACATTTTTAAAAGAGGGCCTTGTCCATAGTTGTCTTTCGGATCACTTTTTCTCCTTACAAAGCAGCCCACAACCTTCGTTTCAAATGTATTTGCGTCTTTCATTAGCTCCACAATCAGGGAACGCTTAAGATAGATTAACTTGATATTAGCTTCAGTTACTGCAGCAAAGCATTTTTTGGGAGGCTGCAATGTATGTTCTACGAAGTGACCTCTCTCTGTCCTTCGTTTGGAAGGAGATCTATCCATTCTTTGCTTCTTGAAGGACTTTGCATGATCATTTTCATCCAAACTAAATGATTCATCATCAGAATCATCGTTCTCAGCAAAGTGTTTCTCCAACAAACTGTATACTTTGAAAAAATTAACCTTCTTTCTCCTAAAAAGAGATAGCAACCTTGCATCACAAAATACATGCCTCTTCTTTTTTTTATCATGGCGTAGAAGATTGTTTGATTGGATATAATCTTTTACAATCTCATACACATCATGCTGACCTAGAGGTTGCCGTGTATCCTTTCCAAGAGATGTAAGAAACTCAATAAGTTCCTTCGATGCCCAGCCAATATACGTCTTCTTCTTTGACTTGTATTTCTCTTTAACCATTCTCATCCTATTTTGTTTACTCATAAAATTCTTAAAGGCCATAACTCCATCACCAAAGCCATCATCCGACCCTTCAACTTCATCCTGATCTTCAAAGTTTTCATCTAAATCAGACAAATTCTTGAAGTTCTCTCCCCTCTTGCGAAGATCATCAGCTGCTTGTAGATTAGCCAATGTCAGTTTTTCTTTTTCCTTAACTATCCACCAGTAGTCTTTGAAAAGAAATTCAAATGTCTCTGTGTCATCAAAGTCCACTGCATCCTGTAACATATCATAGAGTTTAAAAATGCCAAAATTAATTGAAAATCAACTATATTCCCTTTATGTTTAATTTATGTAAAACCTAAACCTAGATACACAAATAAATGCAGTGAAAACAAAAGGCCCATAAAAGGCTCAATGTGAAGGTACCCCATCAGAATCAACATCAACATTTTCTTCAATTAATTTTGCAAGCCTTAAGCATTCAAAACAGAAGCCTTTTGATCCTTTTACTTTAACAAACTCAGATACTCCGAAACATGTTCGACAAGAGGAGTATGGACAGCAAAAGCATTTGAATGTCGAATTTTTGCGGCAATTGTAGCATAAATGCCAATCTATCAAATAAAAAAGAAATAAATCATGAGAATCATATAAGATCCAGAGAATGTACATAAGGTAAACTGTAGAAAATCAAATAATTAAGTAGAAAAGATGAAGGTTAAGAAGAGATATGACAAATACTTGCCACAAGTCCATTGCTCATCTGACTCGAGAAAAGATTCATCCTTGTTCACACATTGTGGATGATAGGATTTAAGGCAAGCTCTGATGGCACAAAAAATAGCATAATCAGAAATGTCGAAATAGTCCATTAACTCTTTGCAGGAAGTCATTTTAGCCCCAGATTTTGCAAAAATGTCAATTTAGTCCCTTTACGCTTTTAATATGGGTTGAAATAGTTCTTAGTGAGAACTATTTTATGACTTATTAAAGTAGTTTGGGGACTCATTTAGCCCTTCTATAAACTTGGAAAAAATGCCTCAATCTAAATAGTTTGGGAACTATTTTGGCATTTTACTCGTAAGAAAAATGAAATAATCATGAACAAGCTTAGAAGCTAGGTAACCAATTACTTCGAAATAATTTCAGTTAAATTAAAGCTAAGAAAACAAAAGCATGCAAGCATACAATATTGTTTGCACCATATCCATTTCAGTAAAATTCATACTGGAGTCAAAGCATTAACCACAATAGAAAATGAATGAGCCCCAAGAAATGTACTAATACAGTAAATTGTAAAGAGTAGACCACACGAGCAAAGATAATTAAAAAAATTCATCTTTAAATGGCCAAGATTTTGACTAGCTACTTGAAATTCTACATTTTTTATATCAATAAATAAAACAAGCTTGACGGCTTTCAAATAAAAAAATGGATGGATAACAAAAATAGCAACTATCATGAAGAAATGATGAGTAGAGTAATTTAGCTAAAGGTTAACAATTCAATGTAAGAAACTATCAATAACAACAAAAATGCAAAAATTATTTTGGAATAAAGTAGACTATTTAAATTTTTTTTCTAGATGATCAAAAGAACATCAAACTATTGAATATGAGAACACCAATTTGCAATAAGATTCATAGAAGATTAAGTAACACATAATCATTAGCTAGCAATTGTAAGGATAATAAAATCATTATCATCATTAACCATATCCCAATTATATACAAAACATCACTTAAGGGGTAGTAACCTAGCTCGCACTTGCCTCCTACTTGTTAAAACAATCGAGTTAGGCTCTGAAATACCACTTCTGAGAAACATCCTAACATAGAAAAACACAATTGACTAATGTTTTATAAGTATTTTTTAATACTTGAAAATAAAATAAGTTGCTTTTAAAAATAATCAAAAAACTATCAGGTGTTTTAATTATTTTCAAAAAATTAATCTCAGTGACCCAACCTCCCCAAGCCAAAAAAAAGATGAAGTTTTCTTATAGTTCACCAACACACCCAATCATAACACCACTGTCCTCTTCCAAACCAAAACATAAAACCGCTTGTGCCATATTTAAGAAACCAAACTTGTTATTTCATATCAATATAAAAAAAAACAAAATAAACAAATCAACCTATTCTTCTTTACTTAATGGCTTCACTAAGGATAGTAACACCATGACCAGAGGTGTTGGTGGACTAAATGGAGATGACTCTATGGTTGGCGCCGGGTTGCTTGGCAGTGGGCATATGGTTGAATAGATGGGCCGCAAGATAGGACATACATACGATTGGACAATGGCTAGTGCAAGGTTGGCCAACATGGTGCATGCGGTCAGGCAGCCAACGTCAATGTTTTGAAAATAATTAACAAAATCAAAAAGTTGTTTAGAGTGCCTTTCAAAACAACTCTATTGGTTAACAAAAAGAATTACAAAAATTCTAATCAAAAATTTTTTTTTTCTAAATTAAAGGAAGGACAACAAATAGAAACAAAAAGCTATGTCAAACAGCCTAAATTCCAAAATATCTAACAAAATTTACTAGGATTTAACCAATTTAACATCTACCGTGCCAAATAGTTTTCAGGATTTAAGCCAAATGGCCCCTAAGCGATATGCAAAGAACACTAATCAAATTAAATCATGAAACAAGCGGCAAAGCAATGCACTATACTTTGCCAAGGTGAGATACAGAAACACCATAGAAATTTGCACAGGGACTGCATGCACCAAGGAAAGAAGTCAACAATTGCATCTTCTATAGCACTCAATGTAACAAATAGCTAATACGCACAGAATTTGGAACATCGACAGAGCCAAACAAAACCCTACACTTACGCATCAGCAAGCCAATCAATTCATCAGCCAAAAATGCAGCCAAACGACAGTCAAAGAACGATGATTCAGAAAGATAACTCACTTGAAATCGCAAACACGGATCTCGCCTCCATCTTTGCAAACGAAGCAGTAATCCTCTGAGAGATCGTCCTTGTCAATTACCTTCTTCCTCCTCCCCATTCCGTATCCCTTGGGGAGCGCCCTGAGGCCAACGCGAAGAAACGGCCCTTCTTTCCCGATTCAAAGTCCTCCAGGAAGACCAACGACGACACCTCAAGCTCCTCGGGACAAATGGTGGGGGTTTTCGCAGGAGTCGGAACTCCTTCGGCGCTCGCCTCGCGGCTCCGAGGAGCAGTAGGGTGGCTCCATCGACTGAAGGAAGGAAGACTGTACGCCGACGGGTGAACCGTTCATCGCAATACGAGTGCCGCGATTGGAAGAAAATTGGCGCCGAGATGAACGTGGAGTGGATCGAGCCTTTTTTGCCGTCTTAGGGCTGTAAAAGAACCAATGCACTCGATGAATTAGCCACAACATGTTCCTTCGAATCCGTAAATAAAGATTGTTACAATGTGAATTTATGCATCTATGTTCAATCAAATTCGTTTGTTGTTCATAAGAGAGAAATTTAGGCAAATTGGAGGGGAAACAATATTTAAGATAATTTAGGATTTAGAATTTATAATTAATAAATTAATAGCTCCGATTAAAATTATAAAACTATTTATTAAATTTTTGTATGAAAATTTAAATACTCATTTGAATCTATATATATATATATATAATTGTTTTAGTTAAAAGTAATTTTAATTAGGTTCATGATTCCTTCTTTTAAAAATATAATAATAATAATAATAATAATAATAAATATATATAAATATATAGTAATTAAATTGCACTAATTTAATAAATAAATAAGTTTAATTGCATATTTAGATGACGTGGAATTACTAGTTAAATCATTGAATTTATAGATTTATCACAGTTGCCGCATCTAGGAAAGTAATTGCTTATATCAAAGGATAAATGTACTAATTATAGTTAAGAGCATTAATCCTTGTTATTTATAGCAGATTCATAGTTATTTGTGTTTCATTTATTACTCATAATGAGGAAATCAAGTGCTTTAATTTATTCCTACAAAATTTCATGTGTAATTGAATTAATCCTACAATTATGATATTTTCATTTTCTATATTTTATTTGTATGAATTTACATTAGTCATATCGCGACTCACAAACCTATATGAAATTGAATACTTATTACATATTATATATGTGAAAAATTTTGTGTACTTGTATGTGATGGTATGTAGTTCAGTGAAACTCTTTTGGATATTTGTTAGCTAAGGCGAGGGGCTTATAGAGTGAAGACGCTACAGAAAATCGTCGGGTTTCATTGTTTTGGTATTGACCTTCCCAGTTTTATGGTGTCTGTGAAAACCAACAATATAAATATAAATGAAAGTTTAATAATAAGAAATTTGCTTCAAAATGATTGCATGTTTTTTTATGACAAGAATGCTTATTTGATGTTTACCACTCTTTTATTGCATTATGATGTTATATATGTATGTAATAATTTCCATATTTGTTGTGCATATTGCATGCTCCATTTCCTTTGTCGTTTATCCTTTGAAAAATAGTTATTATTTACTGAATTTGTTTGTCAAATTCATTCATTAATACATTGTGTAACATGTTATTCGACTACTAGTAGGAGCATCTCCACTGAAGACGGTTTTTCAATTTTAGATTTCTTGTATTGGTATTTTTTTTTAGTATTTATTTTTGTTATTGTATTTTCTTTTTTATATCGGGATAAACTTTTTTTATTATCATTTCTGTTTTGATTCAATCAGTCTTTTGCTTTTCTTTCAACTCTATAAGTGGACTATTAATTATAAAATAAAATTCATATTTTTTGTATTTATTCTTGTTGTTATTTGCATATAATTTTTTCTTTTGAAAATACAAAACAAGTTCAATTCATTTCATCATATCATGCATTTTTAGGGTGTAATGTCTTCCGGCATGGTATGATATTCTCTGGTGGGGAAATTTTAAACTCTATGTTGGACACTTTCATCTAAAGATACTTGTGATGCTAACTCTTTCATTGGGTCGATTTGCTTGCAGGGTAAATTTATGTATCAGATCAGTACCATCTTCTATTATACATATTGTATCCTCTCCTTTATAATAGGGGAACATGTTTATCAGAAATGACTAATCAAGAAAACAAATTATTGTTCGTTATTGTGGATACTCTCTCATTGGGTGTGATTCAGAAATAGACCAGGATTCAACAATTAGATATATAAATTTATAAAAATTATATGATATGTATGATCAAAAAGTCTAGTTGGTACTATTTGTAGCAAGTTGGTATTCAAACTTAAAAATATATCATCTTGCACTATTGCTATGAATGGTCACATGAGGGCAACTATTAATTATCTTCAAATCCATTTAAATGTAAATAGAAACGCACAAAAAAACAAAAATCCTTCCTTTTTTTGTTTTTTTTTGGCTATTACATACATACTACCCAACTTCTATGTATTTATATCACACAAAATTTACACATCACATCAAATATATCACTATTTTGACTTTAAAAAAATACACCTTTTCTTATATAAATGTGCTGGCATGTTCATAAAATTTGAAGCTATGAATATGTAAATACATGAGAATTGATTGATATGGATGTGCAACTTCCTTTTACTTTTTTTTTTGTCGGAGGCCACGCAAATTGATACTATTAAAAAATATAAAATAGTAACAAATTATTCAATAATAATAATAATATATGCACATAAATAATGAAATTGTTGATTATGATTAATTAAAAGCAATCATAGAATAAGAAACAACTGAAAGTGCAAGATTTGGAGGTGTTGGTACAGAGTTCTGTCCCCAACTAGGAGACAAAAGTTCAAAGCACATATTAATCACTAACCAATAATTTGTAACCTAGTTTTCATTGTTAAGTATTCAATTTATGAAAGGAAGTCGAGATTCTCTAATGGCCATTTTCCCTTATGCTGTTACTGTCTTTCATATGATTGGTTGTTTCACTTTGTCTTCCTATGTATAGAACCTAATGTAACTAGATTATGACATTAAATATAATGGAATATAGTTCTATCTCTTATTATTATGCTTTATTTCAATTCCCCTGCTATCTTTTTCTCTAATTTATCTTCACATCATAATCTTTCATACATTCAAAAATCTTCTTGCTTGGTATCAGGACATAAGCCCTACGACACTTGTTTCATTTGATCACTATTTCTAGCTGCAAGATTTCTCCATCTTCTTCCATCTAGTTGAGACGCACGACAGAACTGCTCCTTCCATTCGGCTCACAAGATCTTGTTCTTCTTCATCATGAGTTTGAATTCGAGGACCTCCACCAATGTTGCAATGTAATCCACCAATTTTACGGCAATGCCTTGTGATATCCCAAACCCTACCAAACTAAAGCTCCTCATGGCAAATGTCGACAATCACTACACTTAGAAAGCCCAAATCGTAAAAACTTTTTTGAGTAAATGGATATGAGTGTTTTTTCACTGAAACTTGCATCAAACCACCTCCTAATGTTCGGCATCGCACAGGCATAGAAACATCCAATTCCAATTTTACAAATTGGTTTATCATCGATCAGAACTTGCTCGCTGCACTCTATTTTGTTGTTTGTCCATCCATTCATCCCTATGTGCTCAATCTCGAAACCTTTCCGTAAGTCTAGAAGATAGTGGAACATCAGCTTCAATCCACTAATAGATCCAAAATAATGTTGATCAAAGATCTAACCCCATAATATATATATATATGAAAGATAAAACTATGACTTGATATCTTTTGGAAATCAAGAGTAAGGTTGTTGTCATCGTTGTCGTAGGATCCTCCCTCGACTCGAAGGATATCTCTTTTACGCAATTTTACAAATACTATGTGATCTTTGTGGGTGATTTTTCTATATGCTCTTAGATTTGTCTTCTTTAGAACAAACATAAAACTGTTGAAAATTATTTTGAATTCAGAAATTTCATGGAAAACTAATTTAATACTCAAACAAAAATTCCTCGTGTTGATGGCAGAGGCAAATATCTTAACACTCGTCTCACTTCCTTACTAAAAAATTATGGTATTCAACATCAATACCCTTGTCCCTATACCTTGGAATAGAATGGGGTTACAGAAGGAAAGAGTAGACATCTTATAGAAACCTCTCACAGTCTTATCAATGAAGTTTCATTACCATTTTATCTATGGGTTGACACTCTTCTCACACCTTGATATTTAATTTACACGTTACCTTCTAAAGTGGTTCATTCTCAGTCCCTCTATGAGGTGTTACATTACTAATAACACACATATCAAAATCTTAGGCTCTGCTTGGCGCAGATGCAGCTGTGCTGCCTCAGGAAGCCGCTGCAGAGAAGCTGATGTGAGGAATTTCGTTGTCTGTTTGTTGCAGCCGTGTGAAAACAGCTGTGGAGCAATTGTTACTGGAAAATTGACTATTTTGCTCATGTTCAGTAAATTTGTTTGTAATAGAACTGTGACGCCAATATATTTAATATTTCAGAAGCAGAAACTCATTTCAAAACATAACAAAAGCTCAGATACACCACTCACTTACTATTGAGTACCAAAAGTGCTACGAGAAAAGAAAAGCTAATAAAATTGCAAGTAAAATAAAGGACAACAAACAAGCTCGAATGCAAGCATTCCCTTGAGCATTGCTTTATATATTGGTACCAAACTTATATTTTAAGCTATCTAACCCCGAGCAGGAATTTTTACTAAAAAAAATTTGTTCATTACATTGCATACCACCCAATTCCTATGTATTTACATGTCAAAAACTTACACTTTGCTTTTAGCATTTATAACACAAAAAATTCTCATATTTCATAAAAAATACCACTTTTTCAACTTTTTAAAAGTGAATACAAATTCTCGTGTGAGGTAAAATAGGGAAAAGCTCATCAATAACCTGGGTCGCGAGGTCTACTCCGCGGCCCACGTTCTACCTCTTTTAGCGGCCGGCGGCCGCAAACGCCTCATTCAAACAAAAATATTTTTGTCAGCTTCGTGATTTGGGGCCGCACCACGAAAAATACGCTGCCCCAAACGGACCCATAATGTTTTTGGCTGTCAATGTTACCCATGGCTTAGACCGTACTCTAAACATAAATTATTTTCTCTCTCTAAAAGTTGTGTAGATATGCCTCTTCACAAAAAGACTACAAATAACTTGATATTAAAATTAACAGAATTTATTTCTCTCTTCACCTTTTGTTTAATGAGGTTATTTTTTTTCCTTTCATTAACAACAAAATATTCAACCTCCCAATAGCCGCCTCTTCTCTTGGTTTTTGCATCTCTCTTCAGTCTACTAAACACATCTCTAACCCCTATTAAAATTTTTGACACAACTCCTTAAAATCTTAGCACTGAATCGGTTCAACACAATGCCACCTCTACTAGCACGCCTCACCTTCATCCTTCGGAACAG